AATGAAGAGGCAGCACCGTTACCAGATGAGTAGAACCTGTAAAAAATTTCTTATTTTTGTATATTTTGTGCATATTCAAAAAATTTTATTTATTCTGTTAAACTCTAAATTCTGACTTAATGTTTTGTATATAGTTACTATACATATCACATGAAATGTTATGTTATATTATATTTTTTAATCTACGTATGTATATATTTTATGGACCCACTGCATAAAAATTGCATGAGCAGGAATTAAATCTCATATTGAGTATCGGGGCATGACACCGGTAACTGGTCAATGTATAGTTTATCTGTGTTATCTATTTATTTATATATTTTTTTAATTACTTATTGTTACATCGAGTACTTTACTTTATGAATTTTAATTTCCTTCTCAATTATTAATTTTCCTAACCGTTCTATCACTATCAGTTGATTGGTTTAAAATAAATGTCCTGACTACGCTTTTCTAAGTTATTAAAGCATCAATTGTATTGTTTGTTTAATGTAATTATGAGATAAGATTGTTGTATGTAATGGATGATTGGTTGATGATGAGGATATGTATGTGAAAGGTTTATCTAGTATCTTGAGAAAGGGTATATGAACCCGGTATATAGGACAAACCCTACCGTGAACATTACTTCAGTCGAATGGGGATGAAAAGTTTCATATCGAAAAATGTTGGGAAGCACTTGTTCACCCTCATTACCAGACGAAGTATTGAGACAGTAATACGTTTGGCGCTCATTACCAGACGAGATATGGTGACAACTGATTAATTAAGAGATTGAATATTGGTTCACGTATAGTGAAAAATCCCTATAGACTCTCAGGGACATCGGTAAGTAAGTAAAAATATCAAGTTTGATTATTATTGTTTCTTAGAATATCTAATGAATTGCTATTTTGATTCTCATCTTCGCAAGTCGCATTTGAGAACCTAAAATGTGAGTATGAAACTAATGTATTAAAAATTAAATGAATTTACCTAAAAATGAAAATAACTTTATTAATTGTTTTATGATTTTTACCAACCTTTAATTTTCCGTATTGGTTGTTAAATGTTAATATTTTTATTGAGATAATATAACTCATTTACTTTATTTAATCATTTCATATCAGGACGACCAAGATTTACATCCTGAACAGCAAGAAAGTTAACGACTAAAGATTGTCGCCTGTTTTTCACTAGTTGCGCTACGAAAGTCAACCCTATAAGTTTGTAGTTGCATTCCTATTTCTATTATTTTAATCTCGTTTAAAATATATTTTCGTAAACCTACTAAGCATTCTGATTTAACTGTACAAGAAATGTAAAATCTAAATTCTTAATTACTCCCACTTATATTTCATTATCATTAATTCAATATTTCTATTCGATTAAATTTTTGAACCTTTACATTTAAATTCTTATTTAATTTTAAAAACAAATATTATTTTAATTATTCAAATTAATAATAATTAATTAGTTTTATAATCTTATTTTGAAAATTAACTCTATCAATTAATAAAAAATAAAATTAATTTGAATAAAATTAATAATTTTCTTCAAGGACCATTAAATATGTCTCAAAATATTAATTTTCAGATTCTAACTTCATCTGTATCAAAAATAATTAAAAAAAATTCTTAATTTTACCTAAAAATATTTCTACTTCTTAATGTTTGATCAGACTTGAACATTTTAATAACATAAAGAGAAGCAAAAATATATGCCGCCAAGATACTAAATACGTTTATAAATACATGCCTACATGGACATTGTAGAGTTTTAGGATTAGATGTATGTTCAACTTACCAGGATTCCAGTTGAATAATAATAGTCGACACCACTAAAAAATGTTACTAACATATCAGATATATGATAAAAGCAAAGGGAAAAATATTTAGAAAAATATAATAGCGTTTTGAAAACACATACCAGCGAAAGTTTTCTTGTTCATGTCCAAAGCTACTCTAAGAACAGATTGCCAAAGTTCTATATTAGTTTTATGTTGGCACTGCCTGCCTTTATATATATATATATATATATTTTTTTTATTTTTAAAATCAAATGTTAAGAGCAGCGTGCATTAAACACCCAGATGAATAAGTATACATGAGCGAAATTTACAAATCTCGGAATAGAATGATTGTTCTACTGGAAAATGATTAGAGAAGTATGAAAAACGAGAAAAAGAAAGGTATGTATCACCTTGATAAAGAGTCTTAAAAAGGTATGGCTCGTCCATCAGGATACGATTCTATCTTCTGAATGTACTTTACAGGCACAACACCATCAAAACCTTCAGTAAGGATCACCTTGTTATCTGAAATATAGAACAACATTCCCTCTGAAATAGCAGCAAGGAACAAAATGGCATCAGTTGTGATCTCTTTGTTATGTACATTCAGGCTATGTATATAACAACTGAAGGATTTTTATAAAGTTCATTTAGAAACCCAAATTTGGTTGCTAGGACATGGCAAAGAGTGCATCTGATTACTAAAAGGAAGCAAATAAGAAATTTCAAATGAAATTAGAACAAAATATTCTAAATTCTATCATCTTTAATTGAATTTAAAATACATTATTCTAATTCCATTTAAATTTTCTATGAAGTCATTCTTTTCATTTTCTGATAGAATTTTCACACTCTCCCACTTGGGGTGATAGTGCATTTTTAAATGAATTCTAGAAAAAAGTTTTTGGTTTGTTCCAAACATAGCCTTAAAATACAAAATACTGAATACGTGTATGATTAAGGGCCATGTATTTTACCTTCAAGAGCTTTTCTCACATCAATAAAAATTAGGACATTAACATCCCGTCTCATACCTGAAAAAAAAAATGATGTCCATCATCAAACACTATGTAAGTCAATACTGGTCTATGTAACTAAATATTTGGGAATGTGTTCAAGCATGAAAAAGATCATCAATTTTCCAGGTAACCAAAGTAACAGGCATATATATTTCTTACTTTTCCATCCACAGCTTCCTCCAAAGATAGGCTCCAGATAGGGCATGTTTTTTATTGAATCATGGCTGATGGATGGGAAATCAAATGTGCAATGTGTTTTTAAAAGACCTTACTCTTACCACTAATTACTTCACCATCTGTTGGCAAGCCACAAGAAAAGTGAACATGCAATCTTTTCATGCATTTTAAACCAGACTGCAAAATCGATTCTAGATTCCTCCTGTAGGTCCCATGCACACACACTGCCATCACAGACAAATGAAAATCATAAACAAAGAATTCCCAACATGAACAGAAAAGTTGAACAAAATTGCTTTTACCTGGCACTTCCTCCGCTGAGAGGATTGGTTTCAATAAGCTTTCAGATTCAACTGTCTGCCAAACAAGGTAAAGAAAAACCAAGCAATGCTTAACTTAAGAGCCAATATCATTAGCTAGTTTGAACATGCTACACACATTGATTGCTAGCCTGCTAGTGAATTTTACAATACTATATTTCATCAGAGCCTATACGAACCAAATAGATGAACAAAGATTTAATCCACAATGTAACATCATACAGATTAACTAACAAATAAGTGGATCTAATGACACATACAGAACAGCTAAAAGTTTCTCTTTCTTCAGGGGAAAAAGAAAAGCTAAAACTTTCAGGATATTGACAAGGTTTGTAAGAACCAATCACTCAAGATTACATCAACAGTATGAAAATTCTCCCCTTGTTCAAAACATCAATGAGATGTAAACTGTAAAGCTCCAAGAACAATAGTGGATAAAAATAACATAATCAGCAAAAAGCGAGTCCAGTACTAGTTTCATTTCAGTGTCATCCCTACATAAAAAGATATTGTGTTCTATAAAGAAAAATAATTACCTTTATTGTGTGCCCTTGGTTTGCACGAATCAACAGCTCCCCGTTCTCCTCTAGGAAGCTAAACCGCTGCTTGTTATCCGTCCTGACAGCCTGAAATTAAGAGTTAAAGAAACACAATGGCATCAAGGGAACATGTTCTAGTTGTCAGACAACTAGAGCACCAAGATTTGCAAATGGAATTTCCAATCAATTGTCTTCTACCCGTAGCACCCATTTTGATATACAAACTATTTGTGTTCTAAGAACAAAAACAAATAACAGTAGAGATTAGCTTTTTTTTTTTTTCCTTAAACACAAAATAAAAGATTTCCTAAAGAAGAAAAATGGCAGAAAAGCTAAAAGAAAATTTAAATAGAACCAACCTCCCTAATGTCATCAACAGTGTGTGACCGTAATGGAATATTGGCAAATGTCTTCATGTTCAGCTTTAATAAATCTTGAACTCGGACATAGCCATCACTCCGCATATTCAAGTTTAGCTCAGCGGCCATATGGCGCAGAATTCGAGTCCTTGAAAAATTAAGTAAATGAATAAACTCAATATCATCATTCAACTCAAACAGTTCACGTGAACATTCATAATAACAGAGTGCTCTTGAAATGGAGAATTTAGGGTTTGTACTCACATAAGTCTACCTAGAGCATCGATTTTATCTTTGCCTGAACCACCTCCTCGTCCTTTAAATCTTTCTTGACTATTTTTCATCTCCATACCTCTTCCCCTACCGCCACTATCACTAAAATAGAAGAAAACAATAAGAAATTCCACAAAATCACTTTCTATAAACACTTAAAATTTAAAACTAATTCGCTTGGTTTCTGAGAAAAGGCAGGAAGAGAAAGCACACTCGTCAATAGAAACGTCACCTTCGACTGGAATGAGCGAAAGAAGAGAACTGACTAGTATTGACGTTGGCCCTCTCCATGAAGGATAGGGCGCGGTAATCGCCGAAAGGAGAAGGAAAGGGTTTACTAGTGATAGGGACAGGTGGGAGATAGACACGAGAGTGGCGCAGAAACTGAATGCCACCACGGGTGAGGGTCGAGCACATGAGGCGATCGATCATGGATGCTCGAGCCTGTTTTCCTCATTCATCATTGTGACGACAAGAGGAGCATGACAATAGCATACGACTAGAGTGCCGGACTCGCAATGGTGGCATCCTGTCTTCGCGGTACACGTGGCTCTATTTTAGATAATATTTTCTATAGTTTTCATTATAATTACTTTAATTAAGAGAATATAACCATTGTCTAAAATTAATCCAACTTGATTACTCTTAACATATTAATGATGTTCATAATATATTTGTAAAATAATATAATTATATATTATTTAAATAAAATATTAAAATATCAAATCTCTAATTCTTTTTTTTTTTTTTTTTTTAATCTCGCGAATGTTAAATCTCTAATTCATTTTTATTCTTATCAAAATCTAAAACAAAATCACCACTATCTTTTAACAGATAAATTCTTTCAAATAGTTTTTCCTCCACAGACCAATGAGCAAAAAATAGAAAACGATCAAAGAATTGATTATGGTTTGTGCATGGAGTTTTTTGGAAAAATTTAAGGTTTTTTTTATAAGAACAAACATCAAGAAATGCTGCTTAGAGTGTTTTGTTGCCTTTTGCTGCCATTAGAAGCAAAACTAAAATATATGAATGAAATGAAAAATTGTCGTCCAAAGTACAAATAGAAGCAGTCCCCCCCATCATGGTCAATAACTTCGAAGGCCTATGAATTTTTTCTTCTGAGAAAAGAAAGCCCATGAAATTAAAAACCCTGAAAATTAGATGGATGAGGGTGATGGAGAATCACAATAAGATATAGTTTAAACAATTCTATCAATCTGAGCCACCATCTTACGAAAAAACCTGCAACCAGATTCCAGAAATGTTCATGTAGGTATATTCTTCTCTTGTTGGTCAAAAAAACGGAAACTGGGTGGATGTAGTCATATATACAGAATCACATTCTGCCTGAATCATTGTGTTATAGATTTACTAAGGTCAAAAGCAATACTAGATAACTCTGCATTAAGGACTGGCTGTATCTTGCCAGGTTCTGCCCAATTTGGCCCCATGCTTCTTAATAATCTGCACTGACTGCAGAAGAATATCTTGTTGGGCAGTGTATAACTCATCCTTGCTCTGCAGTCATAGCATGAAAACCCAAAAGCAGAAAAGTTGTCATACATTAATAAAAAAAACTATTATGAGAATAATAAGCACTATACTATTCATAAACCAAAAGGGTAAGACAAAACAAATCTAAATATCAAGCCACGCACTATTATCAAGCACAAACAGTTTCTTTGAATTGATTAGAAGTTGATCATATATATTGATGTCTATTGAACTTAAAAGTCATTAAATAAATTATGCAGGTAACTTTTGGTTAGCTTGTTTAGACATGTAAAGCTTCTAGAAAGAATTGAAAATAGCAAGACATGCATATGACAGAAATGTTTGACATTACCAGCTTAACACAAAGAAAGTTCCATTTACTTGTAGAAAATTGTTTTAAGTTTTTATTTTCAAAATCTACATATGATATTAAAAACATGTATAGTTATAAAAATTAAAATAAAATTTTAAAAATAATAGTGAAATAGAATATGAGTTTGAAAAGAACCTTTTATTCTTTTCAAACTCATGCAATATTTTCTTTTTATTTTCCAAACCTTGTTTTTTATTTTCATCAACGACATTTATTTTTGTGCATACATTTATATAAATTTAGAAAATAAAAGCTCAAGATAGTTTTTCACAGTTAAAGAAGACCTTGATGTTTAATGATTCAGAAATGTACAACTTTCTTAGTATGTGACTGTAGGTAGAACATGGAAGAAACTGAATGCCCTTGTGAGATAACTTTAGCTACCAGTAAAGCAGGGAATTTCCCCCCTGTAGTAATTCCTGAGAGGAGATGCAGAAGGGAGAGACACATACCATATGTTGGAGATTGCATCCTAAAGTTAGCTCAGCATAAGAATCTTCAATTCGAGACAAAAAGCAATGAGGGGCCTCTTTCCCTAAGAAAACTTTTGGGTTAGACTTTAGCATGCCTTTAATTTCATCTGATATCTGGGGAATCTTGTCCATATCATCAATATGCAGCGGGATTTTGGACGCCATTGCACGCCACTGGGCACGTGACTTGTTTACAATTACCTAAGTTTTCCAGGAAAGACATTAACTTGTTTTCAAAATCAAAGTTGACATAATAATATAACAAACAAATCAGATCTTACATAAAATATTGTATTAATAAATCTATACCACCGGCATAAGATTTTAAAATAACAATGAGCAAACGAATTGTGAAGTATGACTTACAGTCAGAGAGACTAAATTCTACTATGCAGATTCTCACTAAAAAGAACTAGAAATACCTTTCCGCTGTGGAGCATATGGGATCTACATCCCGGTTTAAAGATTTTATTGCTCAAAATTGGGGGGCTAACAATGATATGGCACCTGCTTTGCCCTGTGTTTGCTGAGAAGCTTAAGCATGGAACAGGGTGATATTTTGTTCATGCTAGCAAGAAGGATAGGAAGCCAATAAATAGCATCAACGGCTACAGAGATTACTTCAGAGTAGATTCTTCTTTCCACACTAGCTTTGAGATTAACCTGAAAAGGAGCTCTATGATGTTTTCGTACAGGAAGTATATTTAAGGTTTTGGAAATCTAGATGGCAGTGAATAGACTTGGGGACGACAATACCAAATACTACCATGATCCAGGAAGAAGTGTTATTGTTTGGACTTGAAAAAATATAGACTTACAAGATTGATGAGAATCTAACAAGAAGGAGAGAGCTGACAATTGAAACATGGGATTTAATGAAAGCCACTTGTAGAATGTTCATATGTAGGAATGTATATATACATGTATACTTACATTAGGGATAGCTGGTATTGTTAGGATAGCTGGGTGCTCTCTCCACTAATTTTTTAATTTTTTGTCAGCATTTTTTAACCATTTTTTGTCTTGACCAAAATCCTATATATTTAGCACATTTGTACCCATGTAATATAAAAGAAAATTAGAGGATTTTTTCCTCGCCACACAAACGTTATCTCTTTGTTTTCTTCATGGTACCAGATTCGCAACTCTGATCCAAAATCTTTCATCATCCAACTCAAGCCGAAATGGCCATGGATGAGCAAAACTCCTCTCACATTGATCAGGTCTCGGGTTCCTTCAATCCAATACCTATCAACCATTCTTATATTGACCAGACACCTTCATTTGTCACTAGACACAGACTGAATGGGAGTAATTATCTCCAATGGTCTTCATCCGTTCTTATGTTCATCCGAGAGAAGAGCAGGGATGAATACCTTATGGGAGAAGCTATTCAACCACCAGCTGATAATCCAAGTGCTCGTTCATGGAAGGACGAAAACAATCTGGTAATGTTTTGATTAGTCAACTCAATGACGACAGAGATTGGAGAAATTTTTTTACTGTATGAAACCGCACATAGACATCTGGGTGGCCGCACGCGAGTTTTACTCCAGCCGAGACAATACCTCTGCCACCTTCAAAATCGAGACTCAGCTGCACGACCTGTGACAATGGGAGCTCACTGTAACACAGTACTACAATGCACTCTCTCGACACTGGCAGCAACTCGACGTCTTCGAGGAACATCTGTGGAATTTGTTTCAAAGACTCGAAACTCTTCAAAACTCACACTAAACGCAAAACAGTCTTCAATTTTTTTATGGAACTTAACAAAAACTTGGATAAGGTTCGTAGTCGCAAAGCCACTACCGAATCTCAGAGAAGCTTTCTTTGAAGTCCGTCGAGAAGAGAGTAGAAAAAAGATCATGCTGGGTAATTTTTACTCTGGCACGAACCCGACGGACACAACTTTTGCCCTTGCTGTTCAGAGGAAGCCGCTGCTTAGTGAACCTCACCTGGTGCCCTAAATCACAAGCACGCATCTGCTTTCATCGAGCATACTTCTGAAGCTATAGGAAAGAAAGGGAGACTCTGGTGTGATTATTGCAAAAAATTGGATCATATTAGAGATATATGCTGAAATTATATGGCAAGCCAGCAGATAAGAAAATTTACAAAAATGACATTCAATAGCAACATGGTAATTTTAGAAGAATTATCTCCTGCAGCCAGTACTACCGAGAGCTCTCCCTTCAGTTCAGCCCAATTAGAGGCCCTTATGTAAATGTTTTCTCAAAAGGGTATTTTTGGTAATGCTTCCATTACTCAGAAAGGTAATTGCTTACTCAGTTTATCTACTTATTATGTGAAAAAGCAAATGTGGATTATTGATTCAAGAGCATCTAATCATATGACCAGAGACATTACACTCCATCAGTACAGTGCATGTAAGAAAATCTCATCCATCAGAATTGCTGATGGAACAAGTTCTAGAGTTGCAGGAGTTAGCTCAACTACTATATCACCAAATTTGATATTACAATCCGTTCTTTATGTGCCTAATCTACACTGCAATCTGCTATCTGTAATCAAATTATGTAATGACTTGAACTGTATTGTTAAATTTGACAGTGATTTTTGTATTTTTTAGGACTTGACCACGGGTACGATGATTGCAAGTGCTAAGGACTCAGAACTTTATCTTCTACCAGTTAAAATCTCACCTCCTAATAGACAAACTTCAAGTGCAGTATGCGCTAATTCAATATCTGTAGGATGTTCTAATATTGACAAATCTATTATATTATGACATTATAGATTAGGACATCCAAACTATATGTATTTAAAACAACTATTTCCTGCTTTATTCAGAAATAAAAATCCAAATTCATTTCAATGTGAAGTATGTCAATTTTCTAAACATACTCATAATTCATATCCTAGTATTACTTACAAATCTTCAAAACCTTTTGCATTGATTCATAATGATGTTTGGGGATTGGCACAAGTAAAAAATATTACTGACACAAAATAGTTTGTTTCCTTTATTGATAATCATATTAGAATAACCTGAATCTATCTGATGAAAGAAAAATCTAAGCTTAGTGAAATCTTTCAAAAATTCAACACTATGATTCAAACTCAATTTCAAACAAAAATACAAGTGTTGAAAACAAATAATACATGTGAATATTTTGCATCCAACCTATGCAAATTCCTTTCTTGCCAAGGTATTATCCATCAAAATTCTTGTCCCTACATCTTTCAACAAAATGGTGTGGCCAAAAATAAAAATAGGCACATTCTTGAAGTATCCGGCTTACTCATGTTTACCACAAATGTCCCTAAATACTTTTGGGAATACGCTATCCTCACAGCCACATACCTTATCAACAGAATGCCCTCCCATATCCTTAAATTTAAAACACTTTATGATTCACTACTTCAAGAATTCCCAACATCGCACATCCTTCACACAATTCCGTTTAAAAACTTTGGTTGTTCTGCTTATATTCACATTCACAGTCACCTCAGAGGGAAACTTGATTTTAGAGCCTTCAAATGTGTTTTTGTCGGGTATTCCAATTCTCAAAAAGGTTACAAATGTTTTTGTCCAGTAACCCGCCGGTTCTATAACACTATGGATGTTATCTTTTTTGAGAACCAACCATTTTATCTCACTCTTGATATTCAGGGGGAGACATATAAAACTCAAGAATATCAATTGTGGGATGTGAATATCCCTCCTCTACAGACTCCATTAACAACTTCAGAAAAAAGATCCTCTGTTGACAACTTCAGAAAAAGATCCTGTCCTTGAAACCACCAAAGAACTTGAACTTATCACAGAGACTGATAACACATTACCTACAGTTAGTGAGTTGCATATCTATAAAAGGAGGAACAAAATTTAGTGTAAAGATAAAGTACCTGAACCATCTATACTCTGTCATGACTCAACTCCTGGACCAAGCACCCAAAATAACACAGGTAATGAGATTTCTGACTCTACTAATGATATTGGTTTACCTACTGCATTATGAAAGGATGTTCGTTTTTGTACTATGCATCCCATACAGTATTATGTCTCTTATGGCAAACTGTCTTCAAAGTATCATGCACTTGTAAGTAAGTTTGATAGTATCCCTCCTGAACCAAGAACAGTTCATGAAACTCTCAAGATTCCTGAATCGAATGTTGCTATCCAAGAAGAAATTTCAGCCCTTGAGAAAAATGGGACATGGGAATTATCTGATCTACCTTCAGGGAATGCTCTTGTTGGATGCAAGTAGATCTTCACCACCAAGTACAATCCTTATGGTAGTGTAAGCCGCTACAAAACTCAACTTGTTGCTAAAAGGTTTATCCATCGACTATCAAGAGAGATTTGCTCATGTTGCCAAACACAACATAATTCGGGTATTATTCTCTTTAGCATCTAATTTTGATTGGTCTCTCTATCAACTTGATGTAAAAAATAGTTTTCTTAATGGTGACTTAAAGGAAGAAGTGTACATGGAAGTCCCACCTGAAGTCAAAATGAATCATCAAAAGGTATGCAAATTAAAGAAGGCACTGTACGGTCTCAAACAATCTTCAAGGGCTTGGTTTGACAGATTTACCAAAGCAGTAAAATATATGAGATATCAGCAATGTCAATCCGATCATACCCTGTTTGTCAAACTTTATATCATAGGGAGAAGAGTTATACTAATTGTTTATGTGGATGATATTATCCTTACAGGTGATCACAGTGAAGAAATTCAAAAACTGAAAGGCTTTTTATCTAGAGAATTTAAAATCAAAAACCTTGAGTTGCTCAAATATTTCCTTGGAATAGAAATTGACAGATCCAAGAAAGGAATTTCTATATCTTAACGAAAGTACATCTTAAATCTCCTGAATGAAATAGGTATGCTTGGTTGTAAAGCTGCTGAGACTCCTATGGAAACAAATACTAAACTTGGTTCCAAAAATGACAATAAACCTGTTGATAAAGAAAGGTATCAAAGGCTTGTAGGCAAACTTATCTACTTGACTCACACAAGACCTGACATCTGCTTCGCTGTTAGTATTGTGAGTCAGTTTATGTCTCAACCTACTGAAAAACACATGTGTGCTGTTTATCGTATTCTCAGGTATCTAAAGATGACACCTGAACAAGAATTATTCTTTCAGAAGAATATGATCAGAGATATTGAGATCTATACTGATGTTGATTGGGCTGGATCTGTGACAGATAGAAGATCCATATCTGGTTAATGCTCTTATATTTGAGGTAATTTAGTCACTTGGCGTAGCAAAAAGCAATCTGTTGTATCAAGAAGCAGTTGTGAAGCTGAATTACGATTACTTGCACATGGAATATGTGAGGGAGTATGGCTTAAAAATATTCTATTAGAACTAAGATTTTCTGCTCCTATTACAATGAGAATTTGGTGTGACAATCAATCAACTATTAGTATGGTCAAGAACCCTGTGCACCATAACATAACTAAATATGTTGAGATTGATCGTCATTTCATCAGAGAAAAAATTGAAAGTCCGGATGTGTCACTCCTGTACATCCCGACTAGTCAACAAACAGCTGACATACTCACCAAGTCACTACCAAAAAGAGAGTTCAATAATCTTGTATCCAATCTACAATTACTTAACATCTATGTAACCTATATTGAAGAGGAGTGTAGAATGTTCATATGTAGGAATGTATATATACATGTATACTTACATTAGGGACAACTGGTATTGTTAGGACAGCTGGGTGCTTTCTCCATTAATTTTTTAATTTTTTGTTAGCATCTTTTAACTGTTTTTTGTCTTGGCCAAAAGCTCATATATTTGACACATTTATACCCATGTAATATAGAGGAAAATTAGAGGATTTTTTCCTCATCACACAAGCTTTCCCTCCTTGTTTTCTTCACCACTATTTGGGAAAACCAAACAATTTGACAAGCTGTATGGTCAAGCTTACACTTTAATTTCCATACAACATGTGAATACCTGAGTATACACAAAATTAGACTTGGAGTTAGTTGGCAAAAGATGATAGTTGAGCAACCTCTTAATTCAAGATAGAATTAAGGGCTAACATTAAAAGAGTTTGAAAACCTTTGGCCATCATAGCACAAACTCATAAAGCTGCCACTGACATAGAAGAATAATTGAAATCTCTCTGGAATCTACTCCTAATGATACCTTTGGATAAAAAAAGGGGCTGAAGAATGGGTAGAATCAATTTTTAATACTCCTAAAATAAGTAAATTGTTTGTTTTAGTTGTGGACAAAGTGAACTTATGGGCTACCAATGCCCAAAGGAGACGAACTTGCATGTTGGAATGAAACAAAAGAAGGAGATGCAAGGAAGAGATGATGGTTATGTTTCCTTGAGTGTCATGTCCTAAGCCCAAGAACTGCTTACACTAACTTTTGAACTCAAATCACTGACTTTCAAAAGTTCAAACTAAGTTATTAGAAGTATTGACTTGAGTTCTCATATAAAACCCAACAATCACATATTTTTTCAATATAATATTAGAATATCACAACAAAAATGTTGATTTAGCTTATGGCGAACAAGTACCTCTGTTTTGCCAATAGTAAGGTGCATATCAACAAATCCTAAATGGAGAACTAAAAAGAAGCACCACGTATTCCTATCGCTCAAGATCTTTCCCTCAAATAGAACTCTACAGAAGTTCCACAAAAGGAGAATCTGACGCACCAATTAATTAATGTGCTGATTTCATACTGTTACCAAGATTTGAAACTACCAAATAATCGTGTGTTTCCATGATTTTTGGTATCAAAGAGAATGATAGAACATGGAGTTAGTTAAAGTTCATGAGGAAGCTCAAAGATCACAGTTCTAGATTATTCACCATTTCAAAAATCATCTGATACTCGTGAACAATTTTTTCCAACAAAGAGAGAATGATGGGAATCACTTAAATCTAGATTTCATAATAGATTAGAAATTGTAATTTTTTAAAATACAAAACTATTATACTATTTAGGTATCTATTATTATAATCTTTAGTAACTTTAGGATTTTATTTTTTCTAATATTTAATATTCTTATTGTGTTAATAGTATTGTTTCTTAATCCTATTAGTTTTATTATTTCTCAGCCTAATCCTATTCAAGAAAGGTTAATTAGGAAGCACCATAAACAAATTTGTAATTCACTTTTGAGATAGACTTCAATTATTCAATAAAACGCTCTGAGAAAACACCAAATTCTGATTGTGTGATGTTGTGATACTTAAGACTTTTTACATTTAATTGTATAAGAAACACTAGGTATGATGTCTAGGTTTTTGAAGTGTATGCTCCTGGCTTGCAATTGCAGATGCTTCATCATCAAAAGTCTTCAAGACTTTAGGCCGAGCTTCTAACAAAAGAAGGAGAATGATACCGATTAGATCCTAAACTGAAATAGTTTTTAAGATTAAGAAAATTTTTCCTACTTCTAATTATTTAATATCTATAATTTGTTTAACTTATTTAGGTGCATATTATGTTTTCTTAGGATTCAGAAACTGTCTATTCCTCTTTTATTATTTTGATATTTGCTTTATTACTTGTAAAAGGCTGTAGATAGTGCATATGGAAAGGCTATTAACCCAGACAATAATAGACAATGTTGAATTAAGAAATTATTGCTAGGATTTTATTCCATGTTTAGCCTGCTCCATTCTTTCTACGTCTCCTCTATATTTCTTTACCTTTATCTTTGGTTTCATTTGAGTCTCATCTGCCAGATTCTATACTTATATTGGACAAGTTGATTTCAGACTGGACCTGTCTTACATCATAGATTCGTTCTAATTCTAATCATACACATCCAACAACCTTGCCCAAAAAGAATGAAAATTGGTATCCTGACTTGAGAAACAAAACAACTTCCAATCACTTTTAGTTTGTTCTTCCTTTCAAACAGCCTTTAGCCTGTTCTCCCTTCTAAAAACGTCCATATATTATGGCTGGGATTCCCTGAATAAGAAGTATCAACTACCAAGATAATGGAGGATATGGCAAGCATCCAATGACAAGTAAGCTAAGAGGATTGTATTAATGTCAGATATCACAACGGCTAAGGGTTTTATGGCCAGCAAGCTCACAAATGTAAGAATCAATATCAACAGTTGATATGAAAAGTTGCAGAAAATCAGAACTAAGAAGGAAGGTAAAAGAAGGAGGGCCCACCTGACTAGAAAACATTGAATTTGGAACCAAGACTGGAAATTTCTCAGCATTCAATAACACTGTGGTTGAAAATCCCATTTCCACCACTTGACCCTCAACAGATCCAGCCTGAAATAGCAGAAGTTACTAGGCAGAAATATCATTTCCATGTGATAACAATATATCGAATCAGGCTCACTTTACCATTTTCATAAATGACCAAAACCTAAATGGTTAGGACCCTTGAAATATTATGGAACTGTAGTTTAGATACATAATACCCATGTACCCAAATGAAAACACTAAAATATAATTTAAATGGAAGTTTATGTTGTACATGATGATTTGACTAGCTCCATATCTTCACAATTTTGTCCATGGGAAAATCACCTAATTTTGAGTTTGACATGCTTAATTGTAATAAATCTGTATACAGAAAATCAGTCATTAACAAAATGTGTATGTCCCAATAATTTTTGAATGGTAGATTCTCAAAGTTTGAAAAGAGAGTTTGAAAAGAGAGAGTGGATGAAAGAAACAAGCAGAAATAACAGGTTAATAAAACTAATGGACAATTTGTGAAAAAATGAATACTTGGGCTCTATCTAGTTGTAAACAACTATATTAAGCTCTTATTTTCTAAATTGATACATGCTTTGTATAGAAAAACATGTTTTATTGTTGAAAATGAAAATAAAGGCTTAAACAACATACTGAAACATCTGGAAAAAATTTATGCTTTTCAAACGTATGTCATATTTTCAATGTCACTTTCTAGCACTAACACTGTTTCATTTTCAAAAACTAATATATTTTTGTCAATAAACATGCACTAATTTAGAAAATAAAAACTCAAAATAGTTTTCTACAACTAAACCGGGAATTGACTATCAAAAAAGGGGCCCTTGAAATCCTGAGATCACCCATTTCAAGTAGGAATAGTCACCCAACAAGGATCAAATTATCATTTTACTCCATGGCAGTTCTCTTCAATATAAAACGTATTACAAAGAAAACAGACGAACAGTGAAGGAGAAGGCTTTATGCCACTTCCAGTGAAAAGACGGTCTGCAACTTACTTTTATTGTATCTCCTAGAGAAAAAGGTTTCGTAAACTGCATGCCCAACCCAGTAAGTACATTCCCGAGAACATCCTTAGCAGCAAAAGCAGTGGCCACCCCTGAGATACAGCAAGATGCAGATCAAATATTCTTTGATTTCAGAAAGATATTACACTGCAGAACTGGGAGAAGTATTCTGTTATAAGTTCTCAACCAGCAAAGGAAAGTTCAGAATTGGTAGTTGATATGGAAATTGGTTTAGGTTTCTATGCAGTTCAGTAGTGGAGTTTTCAATGCAGTGCGGTTAAACTAAAATTTCTTATTTCAGTTTTCTAGTGTAGTTAAGTTGAGCAGTTTAGTATCAGTTTCTCAAAACTATAATATGCAGGAGTTAGTTCCTTTATGTTAGCTGATGGTTATAACTTATCTAGTATGATTGGTTAGTTTTTAAAGTTCTCTTCTCTTCCTATTGTACAAGGACTGAATGGAATTGAAAAAAAAAAAAGATACAGAATTTCTTTCAAAGGTTTTAAGTTGCTTAAATTTTCAAGATTGAAGGATCCTCTCTAATGAGACTACATTCATTATTCAGTACTGCTAAATGTATAAATCCAAAAAATTTTCCTCTGTTTTTTTCTCATAGATTCCCTGTAAGGAGGATCATACGTAGTTCTGGACCGGCAACCATAACAAATTGGCATTAGAGGTAGAAGTTACAGGAGTTTTGGTATCTGTTAGTGATGCTTTGACATTGAAGGTGATGCATAAGACAGTTGAGAGAGAGAACCAAAACCAAGCAGCAAACGAAGCCAAACAGCAGAAGTTGGTCACTCAGCTACAGGAAATCTATCAAAGCCTTGCTGGACCAGAGTTGGACAATCTTGATGGAGGTAAGGGCAATGCCAATATAGAAAGTGTTAATAAGCATACTATAGGAGCAGCAAATGCAGGGTAAGTACCCAGAAATTGTTTTCCTTGTCTTAAAGGCAATATTGATTTATCAGGATGACCAAACTGCTGCAACCATTTATACTCCCAGCAAAGAAAACTTGAAGAAAAAAAAAAAGTTGGATTAGCCCCCGTTTGTTTAGAGGGGGATGCGCGACAAAGGTTTCTTAAGTTGGAAAGACCTACCAAAATTAACTTGGGAGAACTCCAAGCAGCACTATAGCTTGCATTTTGGACCTACAATTCAGAGTAAAAAAGCTTGAGAAACTCTCTAAACTTTGTCAAACTAAGATGTTGAAAAGTATCAACACCAATTTGAGCAGTTGGCAGTAGGCACAAGCACTCTCAATCAACAACAACAGGTACATATTTTGCAAGTAATCTGCAAGATTATCTAACCGTTAAGGTGGAATTACTGAACCTGAAGACATAACTACTCTCATGAGTTTGGATGGATTGTTTGAACAACAGAGGGAGCAGCGCCATTATGATGGTTCTCTTTTTGGCGAAATCAGACAAGTTCTTCAACTTCAAGACCACAATTTGTTAAATGCTTGATTGAGATAAAGATGGAAGAAAAGCATGTGAAGGGACTTTCTCCTAATGGTGATGAAAAATTTGTTTCTGATTATTAATATTATTGATTTTAGGAGAAAAAATAATTTTATTTCTCATCTTTAAGTTGTTACACTCAGGATATGTATAAAATTTTTAACCTAATAATTAAAAAATAACTATTCTACTAAAATTTTAATTACGTGAGATTACTATTTTATTAGAATTCTAATTATATAATATCAAGTAATTAAATAATAAATTATATTAATAATTAAATAATAAAATATACTACTCAACACTTCTCCCTCAAGTTGGTGTAAGATATCACACATGTCCAACTTGCAAACTAAGTTTTAAAGAGTCATTTTACAGTTTACCAGTGCTAAAAGGTGCCAAAAAAGTATTGCAAACTAGAACTAGATCGGTCAGGCAACAATTCAAAATAGTTCGGCTCAACTCAAAATAGTTCGGCTCAACTCAAACGGTTCGAGGTCGGCTCTAAAATGGCTCGGGCTCCATCAAAGTACCATACAAGCTCTCAGGCGCCGCTATGGGCCAATGAATGCCCAATCATTGGACAACCACGTGTTGCCACCAAAAACCACAACGAGCCACCACCGAAAGCACCACCTTACAAAACCACCAAAGTCTCAAACACCTCAACCGGACCGCCACATGCTTGCCGCCGGCCACCAAGTGCCACCACTGAAAATTGCCGAAAACAACACAGAACACGCCGCATCGTCAGATCA